CAGAGAGGTAAACGCGGGCATTTTTCTATCTTGCCTCATCCAGATTGGTAGATGTGTATATTCTAGTATCTAGGTAACTGCATTTACTCTGTTTGACAGGGTTGAAAAAAGGAAAATAGGTAAGCTTTCCAATAAATCGAAGCTCTTTTAGCCATGATGGGGCTGCACATCCTCTCAAAATTATGGCCTATATTTAGAAAAGCTGGTCGGCAATCCACCAGCAAACGTGGACTGATCAATGCCTGTACCTTTATAAAGGGCCTCGGCTGGAATAGTTAGTCTAGTGCAGATGATGCAGCAAATACAAGAAATGACTTACGGTCAGAGTTTTTATGAGATTTCGCCATCAACAAGTCAGTAGCGGATGCGATACAAATAAAAAAAACTTCAATGTCGACTTGAAGACTGGTGTAAGTCAAGGTATTCTGATTCCACAAAATACCTACTACTTACCCGATTGTTAGTAGCAGGTACTACAAAACCTGATATGCTATAAGATCACGTCCTCTGGAGAATGAACAGCAATGTGGAGATATTCATTTATGGGGTGAAGCTAAAGACGGAAAGGTGTTCCACTACGTGTGCATCTCCTAAATAATAATGGAAAGCATCGTGTTCCTCAATTATGAGCTACAACCGTTGCGTTGACTAGGCAGCAGCGGACGGTTCTCTTTGAGATGCTTTTGCTTCCACCAAATCTAGTTTTGCTCCATGGCTGCCCCCTCCACTAAAAGACCTTAGATTATGCCCCTTGTCACAATTTTCGCATTATTTCTAGGACCTATTCGTTATGAATTCCGGTGGATGCAGCCGTTCTCCTCTCCAGATAGGATTTTTCTACGGCCTTCTAACTTTGCGCCTGTTTATTGAAATTGGAATGCTTGGTGGCTTACCTGTCTACCAAAAAGCCGCGAAAAATACTAGTATTAATGTAATCTCACTGTCAACGTGCTTAGAAGGACTTGCAGATAGGGTGCAGAGCTCCTTGTCACTGTTATGAACTAGCATTTGCTTGTATCAACACCAACGCTACCATGATCCCCATTAGAGTAACCAATAGATAAGACATTGGAATCAATGGAATCAATACTGTCAACCAGAAATGCACGTCCAGAATGTAGCCTTTGCATTCACATTCATGGGCTAGAGTGCTGAGGTATAGATTGGTAATGCAACACTCGAAAGTGTATTCAACTCACCGCCGACAAATCTAGAAAGACTCAGCAAGACCGCTTCAGAGTGCCTAAGGGTTCGAGAAAAGGAAGCAAAAACACTATTTGTAAAAGTTTCAGGCAATCTGATCAAATTGTACTACCAAACTACAAACTATCTCTAATAAAGTCCTCTCCCTACGTTACAGTGCAAAACTCCAGTGATTGTGTGTGCGTCTATGACCTACGCCAATGCAAAATACTTACCGACTCTAGATCGATGCATCTGTGGTGATGGCAAAATCTTCCATTTCTTGCCTTTCCCATGGACACCTCGTCAACGTGGCACTACTATGATTACTGCAGTGTAGTCAGCAACATTCATCATTTAATGCCGCCTAAATAGCAACGCAAAATGTCAGACTCACAATTCCATTAATCCACCTGCGACTCAGTTGTCCAAAAATAGCACATTCGAGTTGGTCCAGGATGGCACTTGGACTAGCTACACTTCGCGCTTCGTGAAATGCACAATGTGGCGGCATTTTACTGCACAACATACGTACACCGCGACTGTGAGCTGCAGGTATGACCTCTAGCGTAAGTACAATTGGTAAAATGCAAGCAGTATCTACCTCAACAGGCATTTATAAGGTGACCTAGCTGCATAAAGTCTAGTACGTCCTAATATACGAGTCTTCGAGTGCTGACTTGCTACCACTGTGCAAAAGCTAGGATGAGCGGTCAGGTTCACTCACGCTGGTTCACCTTTCTTGCCAAAAGTTTGGTTGTAGGTTATTAAAGTCAACTTAGACGGAATATGGTAACTGCGTAGCCATGCTTCTACAGAACTGGCGCATATGATAACACAGCACGATTTGTATGAGCAAGATGCCTACTAGCATGTCGAGGTAGAATTAGAGGAACATGATTTATTCTAAGCATTAAATGCCACTGTATATTATAACAGGTTAAGCGAATTGGCCAAATCAAATGAGTAGCCTCAAGTTAACATGAACAAATTTGGGCCGCTGCACAAAATTACTCCGAGTTCAATGTGCGTTATAAGACGATGCAAAAGTTTGGCTGAGATTATCCAAGTCCTCATCTGCTCATTAGTCCTGTGCCTATATGCCTAATTTCCATATTTATTGCACATTGTGGTCGGACACCCACTTTAGCAGGAACATTGACTTCAGCGAAGCTGTATTGATGCTGCCAAATTGGCCTCCTTGTAACCATTGAACCTCTTTGCGTGTCT